CGCTGGCCTACCTTGGCCACGGGAGCGGCCGCAAGGTTGGGCGGGGGGTTGCAGGAAGAGAACCCCTCCTGGGGAGCTGTGGGCATGTGCCCAGGTGCTCGCGGCTGCGGCCCTGCGAGAGTGGACTTGTTGCGTGGAATCAGCCGCGGTGAACGTCAGCAGAGATTCTGCCCGGCGGGCCAAGCTTTGCAGCCATCTCTCCTGCAGCGGCCGATTTCAGCCTGCTGACTTCTGCCCTAGCACTGATGCGTTACCTTTTCAGAGTTGTTTACGTAAATTGATCAGTATGCTGCGGCTGAACTTGTCAAGCGACTCTTGCTGATTGTGCTTTAATGGAGGATCGAGGACTGCAAACTTTTAACCTTCCAGCTTGCTTCAAGAATTTAGCTTTACTAATCTTAAGGAGGAAGGTATCCCAAATCCCGGGGTGTGCAGGAAGTCAATGTTCAATAATCCAAAGGTGTGCAGGAAGTAGGGAGGCTTCTGGGAGTTGGGTAGAAAGGCTGAAGGCCTGAGCCTTGGAACGCAGATAAATTGCTTGTTCTTTAGTTAACATAAAACCAAGACTTTGTCACAGAAACACTAGTCTAACTTTCTGGCTTTTTAGAATGTCCTCATACGTTCTCCAGCGCTGACAGTGTTTTGAAAAGCAGAACTGTGTGTTTTTCTCAATATTTCAAGTGTTGTTATTATTCTTGGATTAATTTTCCTTGGTTCGTGTGGAATTGATTTGATGGTTTGCTCTGTGTAATCCTGGGGATTATCCTCACTAGGATCTTTGCAAAGCCCCTCAGGCTTTATTTAGTTTAGAAGCAGAAAAGCCATCTTCTAGTTCCCCCAGGCATTTATTATTTTGCAGGCATTTTCAAACACATGATTTTGCTTGGCCTTTAGCTTCCTTAAATTTGATTTAAAAGTCATAATCTCACTGCCTCAAGTTGTAATGAGTTTTAGATGATGCTATCGCCAGAAATATGGAATATGTAATTTAATACTTTTTAAGGGCTTCAAAATGAAGTTATTAAAGATTGAGTGAAAACTGTTCAACTAGAAATGTTTCAGTGCTCTTTGCGGTGTTTTTGTTTGTTTGTTTTCTTTGGTAGAACTGGAAAATTTCCTTTTACTGGATTGGCTTTTCACTCCTTCTGCAAAGGTTGTGGATTTTCCTGTGATGTTGCGGAATTCAACTTGGTCTGGGAATTATGGGTTTTGGAAATGTCAGGTATTTCTACTGAGCCTAAATGGAAACTTCTCCGAAGCTCAAAATACAGTCTGATAGTACTCTGTAAATACAGGGAATAACATGCTTTTCAAAGGCTAAAGGTATTTATTTATGGGTGATTATTTCTCTTACAGCTCTTAGATTAGTTTCATAATTTTGAGGTGGTGTAAAATCTATTTCTCCTTGACTTATTGTGCATCTGTGTTCCTGGGTGAGTACCAGCCAGATGCGAACCACCACCTCTGAAAGCACTGATATTTCATTCACAGTTAAAGTCTTTCCTTGAGTCATCCCTTGTTTAACCTCTCAGATCTGTGTAACTCATTAGCACTGTTCTCTGCTGTCCCTGCCCCCTCCTCCAACCCCTTCACATTACCAGTGGGCTTCTTGCTGACAAACTTCCAAGGTCCTTCTGGTGGTGGCCATTCCACCACTAGTATGTTCCCTCTGTAATTTGTTTGGAAGCACAAAGGAGAATCCTGCACTCCCTACCTCAACAGCAAAGATACACTCTCCAGGCTTCAGCATAATGAAAAAGCATCTCCTTGTCCACTGAAAAGTCTACAATCCCTGATTTCCTCCAACTTCCTTATTTTACAAATGAGATTCAGAATCAAAGTGACTTTTTTTGGGCTATCCAGCTAGTTAGATACATAGTCCTTGGTCACCCCCTTCACATGTATCCACCAACTACATGACAGCTTTGTCCAACCTAGGGGGAATCTGGCCTCATACCCATCAAACCCCTTCTGTTTTACTCTTGTTAAAACTGGGCCTCAGTCAAACATTTATCGACCCTCCGTTATCTACTAGTCATCGGGAATATAGAGGTTAAAGAATATGTGATTCCTCTGAGCTGGTCACAGTTTCGTGGGGAGACAGATGACTTTAACACAGGTGTGGTGACTGTGTGGTGGAGTGGACATTACAGTTATCAAACTTGATGGTTACTTAACTAATCTTCTAACCTTTTGTTGAACCTGCCCCAGCCATCCTCAGCAGTGGTTCCACCTTGTGATAGCTTCTCAATGCTGCTATTCTGTAGGGAAGGTTTAGAACACTCATCTTTAGTGTGGCTCCAGTTGGATGATAGTCTCATCATCCCTTTCCCATCTACCTACTCTCTCCACCTCCCCCAACTCAGCCCCTTTGTGATATGTATTAGTAGAGACAGTCTGCCTTGAACCTCCTCGAAGTACCCACCTGTTTTTGCTCACTCTTGTGAAAACAGCCTGGCATCCGGTAGGTACTGCTCAATCAACAGCTGTTTATCTGTTGAATGAATGTTGCTGAGTCTGATAAAAATCTTCCTCCTCTGCTTCTTTCTCTTCCCTTTAGCATATCACTGCTCCACATCTATACTTTTCTGACATAGTCAGAAAATATTCAAGTTGGAAGTGGCTACAGAGGTAAAGAAGTGAAGTTGTTTTGTCTTCCTCTGCAAGATCCTTGCCTTCACCTCTATATTTTCTCTGTGTGTCTGGCATCATCAGTTTCCCCTCGGTGTGTACTAATTCTCGAATACTTTCAAATGTATGTATTTTACTGTCATTTCTCTAGCACCAATACAGTGCCTAGTCTGATAGGCATTAAATGTTTTGAGTGAATGCATTCAAGCCTTTATAGCTTAAAAATTGATTTCATCTTGTCACATCTTCTTAGAGTTCAGTTAGAATTCTTTCCATGAATGCCAGATGACCTTATTTCAAATACCTGCCCCTTCTCATCATCCTTTCTCATATCCTGCTTTTTTTTTTTTTTTTCCTAGCCCTTAGAGCACTTAACACTACCTAACTCCAGACTATATACTTGCTTACTTTTTCTTTGTCTGTCTTCCTAACTAGAACATATAAGCTCAGTTTGGGGAGGAATGTTTTGTTCGTGGCTGAACCTAGGACAGAATTTGGTACATAGTGGGTACTCACGTGTTTTTTTCATGAATAAATCCTTACCTGTTGTCATGGGTGGACTGTTCCTGTTTCTTAGCCATTGTAATTCCCTCCCTATAGTCTGATTGGTACTATACTCCAATCTATTGAAGTTAGTAGTGACACAAAGTCAGGATTCAGTGATCCTGCCTTGCCAGTCTTTGTTCTCTAGCTCTTCTGTGCTGGACATTTTTGACCACCTTATATTTTTGAATATTTTTATGCATGTAAACATAATTTCTATGAATGTAGTTTCAGCCTCTCCA